GGTGTTCGGGGTTGTCAGAGGAGATAGGTTCCTCGAGCATGATTGGGCTGGAAAGCAACAGCTCGGGCGCGGCAGAGGCCAAAATCGTGTATCATCACCACGGAGAAAAGTGTACAAAATTATGGCGGACTGTACAACAAACGCACGTAGACGAGGATGTCTGCATCAAGTTACTTGGAATCAAACAAAAGTTCACTCAAGACCACTGGTGATTCGGGCTCGTCTCCTTGATTGGCACATGATTCACTTGTCGCGTTGACAACTACCTGCATGATTACTGAAGACTGCATAGAGACGAGTCAGATGGACCAGCGATCATATTCGTATACTTGCCTCACAAGACACAAGGGTCAAGAAAGGATGCTTTTGCGAATGGAAAACAATGATTACTATCTGTCTCAACTCTCATACCGGTTGAGTATGCCTGATACTAGCAGGCGATACAAAGATGCTGGATGTCCGTTTTCCACACCTCCAACTAAATCCCTCACCAAGCCTGCATGACCAGGTGCTGGGATTCCAATAATGCAAAGAAAAATTCAAGATGAAACGTCAAACTGTCTACCGTTTAGTCGGCTGACCATTTGACTCAGGATGCAAGATGAGGTCTGGCCGCCTAGAAGCTCCGAGCCTTGTCGATATACTCTTGAGAAGGGGTCTCATATTCGCTGACAAAGTAGTTCTTTGCGTTCTTGCCGAGCCAGACGGTGAGCTTGGAGAGTTCCTCACGCAGACGCGCCACAGATTGCTGGTCCATGTTTGTCTGAGCGACGAGCTCGGGAAGAGACACTGTCTTGAATCAGTACTGAGCCAGACTAGGCGTCTCGAATGGACTTACCCATCAGGCGGCACAAGTGTTCAGGTCCATAGGTATCGCAGACAGACTTGTGCTTGTCTTCCTCGCCAGCCTTCTCCCACACCTTGCGAATCTCATGGTACTGGGGTCGCTCAAAGCTATGGAGAGATCAGTAGAGTTCGAGATACCAAGTCCAAGCAGAAAACTTACCGGTACAGTAAGATACGGCTCAAAGACTTCTCAAAGTACTCGCGAAGTCCTGCAACGACTTCTTCAAGAATGTCCATGTTTGCAGAACCATCTTCCCTGTTCGGGCGCTCGTAGTTGAGGTAGTCGCTCAAAATGTCGTCAACGGGGTGAGGGTGAGGAAGCGGGACCAGCTGATTGTTCTTGGTGATGTTCTCCCAGTCGTCAACAAGCATCGCCTTGATGTGATCAGGGATGGGAAGCTTAATGGACGGGCGTGCATGAAATCCATCCTCCTGGTATGTGATATTAGTATTTGTGTCGACTAGTAGGCATGGCGCAACAGAAAACGAAAAAAAGAAAAGAAAGAAAAAGCCTCCAGGCGGCTGGGCTGTCGGATTGATAATGGTTTCTCTCGATGGTAGTCCTCCTCAATCCGCACATGCGGAAGCTTCCCACTGGGGCAAGCATTGCGTTTGTGTAAACTCACAGTCGGAAGTTCTTCCTCGCTCGTTTCCGAAGAGCGAGCAGATGACGACTTCGCCCGGGCAGGCTGTTCTCGCTTGAGAGTCGTGACGCTCGTATCGTAGCGATTGTCATAGTTGGGCTTGCCATCTTTAGTGACATAGGGTCTGGCGCGGGGAGCAGGCGAGAGGGTCAGGTTATCAGCCCTCAGCAAGCGCGGTTCCTTCCAGGCCACCACTTGATCATGCTGAGGTCGCCGACGCAATGGTTCGGCTGGCCGAGATTTGCGAGACGCAAAAGCCATAATGAACGAGATGAGTGTGTAAAGAGCCAGTGTAGCGTTTGACGAGTGGAATGCAGTGGTTCTATGAGAAGCTGGTGTTTGGGGATGGTTCGAGAAAGAAAGGGCGGGAATTCGGTAGAAGATCAGAAACTCTTCATTGTGCTGCGGGAAGGAGCAGTCTGGGATCGCTCCTGCCAGACAGGCGGAACTAGTAGGATGTTTCTGATGCTGGTGTGTTGGGCCACCCACGGCCTACTGCCCTACGTCGAACATTATGGCGGAACTCGAGGAGTACCTCCACACTGTTCTCGCGCCTTCTCTTGCTTGTGCCGCAGGGCCTCTGCAAAAGCTCTTCGACGACATCCTTGGCATCTTCCGACTCGCCATCTTGAAAGCTTCGTAGATCATGCTGGTTCTCGATGTTGGCATTCGCGGGACGCTCCCCAAGGAATTCTATACTGGAGTCGCTGGTTATGCTGGTCCTATCGTCGTCGTCGTCGCTGCCAACGGTCTCGTCGCTAGAAATACTGATCAGGTCGACGATGTCGGCAGGTTCCACGTCGCCATCGGAATCTGAGGCTCGCCCGACTGTCTGATCTTCGTCTCCCTCATCTTCGTTGTCGGCTTGGTAGAACTCGTCTTCAGTTTCCTCGTACACGGGTGAAGCCCAGCGAACCTTCTTGCGTGGGCGAACAGATGTCTCGTCGTAGCCATCGAAGTCATCTTCACTATACATGTACTTCCGACGTCTGTTGGGTAGGAAAGTGTCATCTTCTTCGCCAGATTCGAGTCGCTGTCGGAAAAGGTTGTTCCGATACTGCCTCTCGCTCAGAGTGTCGTCGTAGTCCCTCAAACCTTCATCTTCCTCAAAGTCGAATCGGTTCACGCCCATCTCCTCTTCATTGACTTCGTCGTCTTCCTCCTCATATTTCAATCGGTTCTGGTTCATCTCCGCCTCCTCTTCGTCATACTCGTCATACTCCTCCCTGAAGTAGTATCGGGGCAGATCAGAGTCAACATTCCCATCCTCGTCCTCGTCCGAATACATTCGACGCCTTTTGTGATGCTGCTCAAACGCCGCGTCTTCCTCATCGTAGTCTGGCTCCGGTTGACGTCTTTTGCGTTGCTGATCGTGCTGATTTGGGCGATGATTGATCACGTCGGCGTCGCCATACAGATAGTCGTCTGAGGCTGGAGCCGGTGTCTCGTAATTGCCATAGTCGAAGTCACTGGTAAAATCGGTCTTGATCTCGACGTATTCGCCTTGAGATGCTTCAACATCTTGTCGATATTCGTGTTCGTCTGCATCCTCTGCCCGACCAACAGGGTTGTTGTGACGGTAATGGGCAAGTTGACGGGCGTAGTCTAACCGAGACATGAATCCGCGTTGGGGTGGAGAGGCGTAGTTGGGCTGAGCGCCAGAGTACTGCGCAGCCTGCTGCGACAGAACCCAGTCGTACACCCGAGCAAAGCTATCCCAAGCCGGGGAGCTCATCTTGTAGCTTGAGTAGGGTAGTGATGATTGTTGATGAAGTTTGTGATGATGTATCCTGAAATTTTCAAGGCAAGACACGAGACGTTGTGATGGGTATGAATGCGATCAATGGGAGAAAGGAGAGTTTTCTGGGAGAGGATAGGAAATCGAACCGGCGATTTGGAAAGAGAAGAGTGGGATGTGGGAGGAATGTGTGGAATCGGTGGAAGGCGTGGTGTTGAAGAAAGGTTTGACCAGCGAAGACTTGTCGGGGCAGGAAGGTGGAAATTCCTTTTCGGCAAGTGCCTCGATGGACGCTGATTCACACAACGCTCCTTCCTTCGATTAAATGAATACCAGCCGCCCGGCAGTGAAGAGGTCGAGAAGTATTCGGTGACCAGCTTTGCTGATGGCCCCACATTGATGAGGGCATTCACCCCCCTATCGTTTCTTTCCTCCTTCCCGTCTTTCGGACTTTGTTTCAAGCTCACTTCACAGTGAGCTTCTACTTGGAGACCAGTATAATGGCACATCGAGAGAAACCAAAAATTGAAACAAACGCAGAACAGAAAGCAAGACACAAAGAAACTCGGTTTTGGCACTCACCTGCTCGAGGTCAAAATCTCTCGCCCGGCGAGGGCCACGGCCAGTGGCAGCGACACCTGCAGTTCGCTCCTCACTACCGCGAGCTGAGTCGGTCCCATTGACACGAAGGTTGCCCTTCTTGGGGGGTTTGGCACTGCTTTTCTGGCGTAGGTCCTTCATCTGGGCGTGCAGCTGGCTGGCAAGCTCCTTATTCTCCTCTGTGAACTTGCGGATGCGATCGATAGAGACCCAGTCGTCCCAAGTGTTCTTCCAGCCCTTGTAGTGAATGCGATACTGGAAGCCTTCGCCACTCTCGGCAGGCTGGATGTCGAGAATCTTGGCCTCATATAGCATCTCACCGTGGAAACAGAGAACCTTCTCATCCTTGGAGAAGGGCTGGGGCGGTTGGCGTGCGGGCGCCATGATTGGATAAGGCGGCTGTAGGTTGGCGTATCTACTCAGTAGGCTCCAGCAAAGAATATCGACAGCAGGGTTCTGGCGATAACCTGGATGTCGTTGAAGGGTTGATGCGCCAAAGGGGCAATGAGGTTAAATTCTCGGACAGTGCGCTGAAGATCGAGACACAGTCACTTTCAGAACCAGTTGGCGCAAGTTCGAGGCTACTGGCACAGTATGAATCGTGAGCAGTCGTGACACCTCACTCAATCCGGATGACAGTGTTGATCGAGTCGCTAACACGGTATTAAGCTGGAGGACTGATTAGTTTCTAGGCAAGATTGACAGCGAGTATGAAAGGATATGAGACTAAATCTTACTGCAATCCGTATGCTTGCTTAACAGCAACTTGCCCAGTGTTGCTTTCGTCGTGGGTAGAGCCGTCTTCGTGAGGTGCAACCGCGATGGATGAGGTGAAGATGGCAAGGTGTGTCGATTCTTCCTACGGAGTGAAACGCGCTGCGGCTCATTAACGCGTCCCGCAAGAACTACCGCGTCTTCCATGCCTGCCCCAAGCCAAGCGCCACCCATCCCGCCTGCCATGCCTACTTACCTTACTCTCTACCTACCCAATGACCTTACCTCACAGGCTCACATATCTGACTTTCCATCTAAGCCTACCCTCTCCTGCTTTTTGTTAGAGACTACGGATACCTTCTGTCAGAGCTCTTATCGTCGAGGGCTGTTGCGACTATAACGGCCACTCGCTGGACTCATTGTCTTCCAAGCAGCTCATCTCACAAGCGCAACCCATTATGGCGCCCACCGAAGCCGCCATCCTGCACAACTACCTGACTGTCCCGGCGCAGCTGCCCTCAGCCATCACGCTCGAGGAATTCACCGAGCTTTTCCCTAAACCGCATCGCGCAAACCCGCAAATCCGCTCCTTGTACCGTGATCTGCAACACCAAAGGAGGGCGCTCGTTGATGCGGTCACGGAAAACATTGAGAACGAGGAGAAGAACGGGAGGATCATCAAGCGCGAGATTGCGCGTGCCCAGAAACGTGCGAAAACCGAGGATGCCGATCAGGAGCTTGAGATTCAGAGAGCGGTACGTTCTTGTGATTGTGCTGCATATTATCATTGTAGACCAGAGTCTCTAATACGAAGGTTAAAGCTGTTTGGCGCGGCTGGGGCGCAAGATCCCAAACACACAATTAACTCCATCGTCCCAGAGATGGATACGGCGATAGCGGATCTCGAAGCAGAGATTCAGGAGCTAGAGGCTCAGGAAGCAAAACTCATGGAGTCGGTCAAACAGACAGTCGGCAGCATGAGCGATCTCCGCTACGGACGCCTCGCCAACCCCAAGCTCGGAGAGGACGTCATTCAAGGTCTCAAGAGTGTCCAAGATGCATGCGACGGGAAAAGTTGATCAACTAAAGATTACTAATTTGGCCCTATCTAATCCAAATGACCAAGGATCTCAGTTGCATCATTGCAACGGCCCGCGGATTTGTCTGGATATTCAAAACCATGCCAATGTGCCCTCCAGCCTCTCTTCAACTGCCTATCCTAAGCCACTCGTCCCCTTTACCGCGCAACACCACCAGCAGGGGCGGCAGCAGCGGGAGGAGCACCGCCAGCAGCGGCAGCGGCGCGGTTGTCAAAGGTGTTGCCCATACGGCGGTTCATCAGGGTACGGCTGCCAAAGGAGACGAGGATCATGAAGAGCCAGTTGGGGACCAGGTTAAAGGCCCAGAAGACGTAGCCAACGGGGACAGACAGGTTGTTCTTGGCGATCCAGCTGTTGAAGGGGTGGAAAATGTTATCCGTCAGGATCCACTCCTCCTTGGACTGCGCCTTCCATAGGTCGACAATGTCGTCCGAGGTGGTGGTGGTGATGTTCAGGCGCTTCCTGTAGACATCGACGTCGGCTCCAGGGGGCAACAGACCGATAGACCAGATGGAGGCGGTGCCGGCAGACCACGCGTTGCAGAGGACGGGCTGGTCATCGCAGTTAAGGAGACCCAGGTGAGGGGATTCGGGAAGCTTGGCGAACTTGATGGTAGACTCGTTAAAGGCAGTCTCGATCTTATCGCAGTGGCCTGTAGGTAGAAATTAGCATATCTTCGTACATGGAGCAATGTGACGCGCGGTTTGCGGAGCGTACCGAAGCAGGTCTTGTTACGACCAGTGATCAGAACCCACCACTCCTCAGGGGTAGTGGCATCAGCCTTGACGGGCTCGTAGAGAACATCCTTCCAGTTCTCGACGGTCAAGACGGAGATCTTCTTGTCGACAGCGGTCGCATCAGGCACGGCGGCCTCGGGGGCGGCCGCCTTCTCAGCGCTGGGCGCGGAGGCGCCAAAGGAGCTCAGGAAGTTCTGGAACTGCGCCTTGTACTGCTCAAAGGGCGACTCGGCCGCTGTCGCGAGCAGCGGGAGCGCAAGAAGGGTGGTGGCAGACACGCGCATGTTGATGATGGCTGTGTATGTGTGTGTGATGGGAAAGTCGCTTCGCGTAGAGAGAAAGGAGGTGGTAGCTTGGATGTCGTGATCAAGCGGCCAAGAGATGATGAGTGAGGGGAAGCGTAATTACAACAAGGGACCAAGGAGGGACAATAAGTACGGGTTGGCGAGGGTAAAGTATACAGGCAACCTGATTCCGGCGCGAAGTTTGGACACACGAAAAAAAAGGACACAGAGTCTGGATGCGAGGGAAAAAAGTGGAAGAGGAGCCCAAGTACGGATACCGACACGGGTGCGAAATCAGGCAGTTTGGAGAGGGACCCTTTTGGGACTCGGGGAGAGCGTGTGGCTTCTCCTGAACCTTGTCCCGTTGGTGATCCGGCTGGAACAAAGGAGCTTTGGTCGCCTGGGGGATCCAGAAGAGCACTGAAACCCGCCCGCTGCTAGAAGCTCGGGAGCACACACCATAGAAACGAGAGAGAGGTCCTTCTCCACACAGCCTAACCAAAATGGGACTAGCGCTTGCTGCTGGTCAGCGTCATTTCGGGTCGCCCAGGTGGAACGGCGGTCCGGGGTACTTGCAGCAGCCACGATTGGGTGTCTCGCGTGCATCAGCCACATGAGGCTTGTGGACCCGAGGCCATTTGGCGGGGACCTGGACGCGTCGAAAGCTCACATGCTGAAGGGCACTGGAAGCTCGCATGCGCCTTGAGGCAACGTCTACCCTTGCGACATAACATTGTGAGCGCAAAACATCACAATGGTAAGCCTTCCAACTCTGGTTCTTTCTGACTCTAGCTGACACAATAGTAGCCCCCCAAAGCCGCAGACCAGAAGCGAAAACGAGGGCGCCCCTCAAACGCGTCTAAGCCGGCCGACGCGTTGCCAGGTTCTCCCGAAGCTGTAGAGACAGAAGAAGCACCGGCACCAGGGAGACGCGGTCGCCCAAGCAAACGAAAGGATACTGAAGTGTCATCCCCCGCCGAGGAACCGAAAACCAAAAAGAGGGGCAGACCACCCCGCGAGGCAGCAATAGAAGCAGAAGTAGAAGAAGCGAATGAGGAGGAGCCCGAACCGGCGCAAGCGAAACCGAAATCGAAAAAGGCCAACAAGAGCAAATCGAAGGACAACGAGGAAGCAGCAGACGGAAACGGGTCAACAAGCCGACGAGAAAAGGCCGCCTCACGAGGTAAACCAGGCCGAAAGCCAAGAAAGGAGGCGAACGAGGAGGCCCAGGACGAAGAAGAGGCCGGCACAAGCAATTCGGCCAAGAAGAAGCGTGGACGGCAACCAGAAAAGCCTACGGAAGAGGAGGGGCCCGAGGAGGCTGTATCTCCAGAACCGGTCCCCAAGAAGAAGCGTGGGCGACCGTCTCTAGACAAGGAACCAGCAGCCGAGGAGGACGCTGCGCCCAAAAAACGGGGAAGAAAGCCCAAGGAAAAGGTTTCCGAGGTCGAAGAGCCTGCACCTGAGGAGGAAGGGGAGGCTGAGGCCGCTCCCAAGAAGAAACGCGGACGCAAGGCAAACGTTACAGTAGAAGAGGTGGAGGAACCACCAGCTGAAGAGGACTCGGCGGCCGTAAAAAGGAAACGCGGTCGCCCTTCGGCGCAAGCTGAACCAGAGGCGCAGGAGGTGTCACAGTCAGAGCCGAAAGAAGGCCGGAGGCGCAAGGGGAAGCAGCCCGTACCAGTAGCAGAGACGACAGCCGAGAAGCCGACCAAGAAGCGCCGGAAGAAGGGCGAGGAGGGGGAAGAGGCGTCACCAGATACCCAACGTCGCCGGGCTGGCCGTCCTCGAACTTCAGATGCAGCATCCTCGCAGAACGAAACCTCGCAAGCGCGCAAATCCAAGAAGCGTCCAACGGAAGACGATGCAGTAGAGGCATCAGCACCCGCGAAGAAACGCCGTCGTCGCACGTCTGACGAAATCCAACAAGAGAAACAAGAACAGCAACAACAGCACCCCAAACCCGAAGCCCCAAAGACGCTCCGACGGCCCCCCAAACACCGCCACATCGCCGCCCGCGTCCGCCAGGTCCCCCGCTCCGTGATAGAAGAGAAATGGTCCCCGCTCACGAACCCCTCCCTCTCCATCGTCTCCAACCTCCTCCGCCTCGCCGAGCGCCCCGTCCTCCAGCGCATCCCAGGCAGCGAGAAGCGCCGCGACCAGGCCGCTTCCGCCCTCCACCTCATCACGAACCGCCTCGTCAAGAAGCTCTCCCGCGGCCTGCCTTTCCCGCCGGCCTCGGCGCCGCCCACGGGAGGTAAGAACGGCAGCAGGAAGCTGCTCGAAACGGATGGCGGACGCGTCGAGGAGCTTAACTTTGAGCGCGTCATCGAGGGCGTCGCGGCGCTCGAGAGGCAGCTCGATCCCCTCCTCCACGCGGTCGACCTCCTCAAGACCGAAAAGGAGCGCGAGGAGAAGGCTCTGGAGGAGGACTACGATACCCTTCGCACCCTCGAGGCGAACGCGCGCTCCGAGGCACGCAATTTCAAGGATAGTCTCCGCAAGACACACGTCCTCGTGCCGGAGGCCACGAAGCCCGGTACTGCTTCCGCTGCCGCCGAGAACGCCGTCAAGCACGACGAGCAAGATCTCAACTTCATCGTCTCCGAAGAGGGCGTCGGGAGCGGCACGCCGCTGTTCAAGGACCTCGAGGACGACGAGCTGCGCGGTCTGGCGGGACAGGTCGGCAGTCACATGGAGAGCATGCGGGCCAACCTGCAGCAGATTGACGGCGTCGTGCCGCAGATTGTCAAGAGCAGGGCCGCGCTGCAGGATGTGCTGTTTAAGCACTTAGATCAGCAGAGTTTTGAGAATGTCTTGTTTGGATGAAGGGCGCGTCAAACATATCGCGAATCCCGTGTTGTGTAGCTCATGGATATTGGGGGAGTTTGGGAAAGCCATTGGGAGTTCTGGACCGACTTGGTGTTGGGCTGGTGTTAGCATCGTGGGACATTGATATTGTACATTGACTACGGAGGCGTTGGCTGGCTGTCTAGGTGATACCACGCAATTGATGATTCATGACCTTCAGTCCCTGCCATTGACAAGACCAGACCGATTATCGTGATGTACTACCTTACACGGTAATACCACCATGTGGCTTTCACTGAAGCCTCACCAGTCCGTTGAACGGTTCTGACACGAAGCGGACATGAAGTCATTAACCCGTCACCAGAACCAGTGTCACCGTAGCATTCAGGTCATCTTGAAGATATTGCCTTGGAACCTTTTGCCTATGAAGAACTATACACATGGGGAAATTCGAACCTCGACCCCATCCTATACCATACAAAAAGCTGGTCTCGTAGCCTGACTGAATTGTCTTGCCGAGACATCCCAAGCCGCAAAACCACCGCTTTTGATCATAACATTCCTTGCTCTTCCTGAGCATCATCAAAGTGTGCCAAATTCTGTTAAGGTGCCCTACTCCATCCTCTTCGTCACGGAATTATACCGCACTACTATCGATGACCGGACCTCTCTATTTCAGCGAAGGTACCTTAATGGTCGTGTTGCGAGAGTTAAGATTTGATCCGCTAATCATCACCTGGAAATCAGAGTTAGCTTCAATGGATGATCGTACATCAAGGCAATTTCAACTAGTGAAGCGTAAAGACTCCACAGCTGTAGAATTCAAGATTAAAAAGCTCACCTGCGTCATTCTCATCGAGAGCTGTGGTGTAAGACAGACGACTGGCTGGGGTAGCCCATTGCTCAGTCGTAGCGGTAGTGGAATCTCCCGCAGGAAGCATGATCATGTTGGCCGGTGTAACGGGCCGGATAGTCGGTACTTCAGTACCACCCTTGTGAGCGTTCTTGCTCTCCAGAGCAACATCATTTTGGGCGGTGTTGGCGGTATCATTGGCAGATTCGTGTCTCGCGTGCTCGGCTTCGTGGAGCCGCGCAGGCAGAGGGTCCAGGGAAGACGCTGGCTGGTTCTCCAACTCAGCAATGGCAAGAGCTGGATTGATGGCCATTTTGGCATGCTCACTGCCCTTCAAGGTTTCAATGCTGCTCTGGAGAGCTTCCAGGTCTTTGTAACCTTCCTTGGTGGGCAGGATTTCGAGCTCTGGATATTCGAGTTGGGCAGATGACTTGACACCGGGCTTGGACGGCATCATTTTTCCCAAGCTGGTCTTCATGGCCTTCCCGAGCTTCTTCGACATGGACTGAGAAGACTTCTTGATCTCGACGACGCTGGGCATGGAAGTCTTGCCGGCGAGCTCAACATACTGCGCTGTCTCCGCACCGGGGACTGCCGCAAAATCCTTCGGCGTCATATCGTCATCAGGGCCTGCAGTACTAGTTCTCTTGGCTCTGTCATGGGAGGGCCACTTGGCCCAAGAAGAAGGAGGTGTAGCAATCTTTTGGAAGCCCAAATTCTATTTGGTGCTTGTGACATCTTCGTTGTTCTCCGACTTCTTGGGAATGATGGTACCGGAGAAAGACTGCTGAGAAGTGCTTGACTGGCTGGCGTTTCGTGTTGCGATAAAATCCTGCGCTTTGGTTTCTTTGTAGCGATATCCGACTACATCTCGCTCTGTAGGGTGAGAGAGGTGGTTCTCGTCGACTGAGATTGTTCCCATGCTGGCTTTAGCCATGGCAGACTTCTTGGAATATGTAGTGGACTTGGTCTCGCGCTGGTCGTGCTCAACTTTGAAAGCTCGCTGCCAGACCACGGTGGCGCTTTCAGTGAGCTTGGGTGCAGTGAATGCGACGTCGTTCGGGACATGCTGGGTCGAAGAAGTGATGCTGTGACTCGAAAGCATTTCAATGTTCTCCCGTGGCTTGAGCATCTGGTTCGCTACCGACGAGGAGTTCAGCTGTGCGGGCTCCGTGGAAGACTGACTATGCGACTGCCATCGATTCTTGGTACTCGAGCTTCTACGAATGCCCAGGAATTGGAGGAATGAAGACTTTCGCGACGGTGCATAGCCGTCGCTAGGCAGGTCGATCTGGGATTCACCAGAAATTCCTCCAATACCACCAACTGAACCAGGCTTCTCGTTCTTCGGGTCAGGGACGTTCCGCGCGGTGCCGTAGTTGTGATAGTTCTCAGTCTGGAAGCAAATACCATCTGCGCCAGCTACTTCCTGGCCTGATAGGATGATAGAAGGTACAGCCGTGTCAGAGTCGGGGTTCTTGTCTAGGGCGGTACGATAACTCTCATCAGAATGCTGCTCCTTGAGATTGTACACTGTTGCTTTATTAGTTGAGATACTAGCTTCCGCGATTAATGTAAACCCACAATCAAAGTTGGCGAGGTCGAGATCAATAAGACTCTCAGCAAGGCTGTTGCGATCGTCGTCACCACTGATATTCTTGAAGCCCGATGGCGAGGCGGTACGTGTGTTCTGCATAGACGAGTATACAGAAGATGACAGATAGTGGGACGGCTCGTTCGCTTGCAAGGGCATTCTACCAAACAAAGTAGTCTTTACCTCCAAGTCGTCTTTCAAAGGCAAGTCGGCGTACGGCTTGTCACCAGAAATTTCTTGGAGGGGAAAGCTGATGGGGCTCGAGTGTTGACGGTTTGTTCCTTTCTCATCGCCAGCTTCGGTAGCAGAGCTGCGACTAGGCACTGCAGTTGCGAACTTCTTCTTGCCATCCAAATCCTGAGCTGTGACGAAATCCTCCTGAGACGAGAGCTTCTCGGCGAGCAGCCAGGTCTCCCAGCCACTGCCATCCTGGGACTGTGCAGATTCCGAAGTTCGGGGAGGCTGAGATATGCCCACGGGCTCGGTTGCGAGCTTGCCATCGGGCTTCTCCATGTCGCACAGAGTTGCGCCGTTGCTGGAAGAATCATCTTGAAATTGGGCCTCAGAAGCCTCCTTGTCGTCAAAGGCAGCTGTGCTCTCAGCGTCCAGTGGGAGGGGGATATTCTGAGGTTGAAGAGAGAGGGCCATCTGACTTTCGCAGTGGGGGATACACTGGGAGAGTCTCCAAGTTCTGAAAGACTCGTCATCCTGATCGGCGCGACTCTGGCGAGCAGGGAGAATCGGGGCCGGGGGAGGCATATCAGGGAGTGACCCTCGCTCTCGAAGAACAAGATTTGTTGCCGTGACCTTCGTGGAGGTTTCAGGCTTTGGACAGCTGCTACGCCGGCGGTCTCCAGTGGTGATATCGATAGGATGAACCTTAACACCTTCGTTCGAAAGCTTGGCAGCAGGCGGTGGCTGCGGCAGAGACGTGACATCAACCACAGAAACATCGGTGGGAATCTCCACCTCTATTCCGCTCCGCGGCCGCGGTCCGCTCTGACGCTCGCTTTGGTGATCACCAGGAACTTCCACCACTGTCTCCAACCCACGGAATCTCTTACTTCCAGGCGTGACAGATCGCGAACTGTGCTCGCTCTCGAGGTCGGCTTGAATGCGCCTCATGTTGTTCTGTCTCACAGAGTAAGTATAAGCAGCCTGATCGTATTGCGGGGAGCCATCTATCTCCGTAGCAGCGGGATTGGAAGAGGGCCTCTGAATGCTGATAATCGACACCCGCTTGTCACTGTCGGGACTGTCAGACCGCTTGTTGCTGTTGTTAGAGCGGCGTCGGCTGAGTCTGCTCCATGGGCCACTTCTTCTGGGTGCTTCGATTTGATCCTCGTGGTCCGACACATATTCGACCTCGGTGGGATCAGGAATGAAATCCAGTTCAGGAGAGCGCATGTATGAGCGCTGAGAGGACGTAATGGAGCCCCCTGTGTTGGTTCCACTGAGCATGAGTTCCATGTTGTAGTTGCTTCCAGGCAGCTTGGCCGGAGGAGGCAGCTTGATCAATTCGACAAGGGGCTGCTTCGGAACCTGGGCTGGAATTTTCTCCTTCGATTTCGCGTTCTTCGCCTTTCTGTCCTTCGACTGCGTGTCTTTGGGAGGATCCGCCTCCTTTGCCTTTGCGTCTTCATCCTGCCCCTTTTTCTTGGAGGAGATGCCGATGCAGCAGACGTGCACCATCTTGATGGGTTTCCACTGTGGATGCTCGATTTTCTCTGTGTTTGCTTTGGTCTCCAAACGAGCGAAGAGGTGGTGATAGTCGGATGGCTGGCGAAAAATACTCAGTACCAATCCAAGAAACTGCTCGACCTGCCCAAGAGGAGAATGATGCAAATGAAAGTCTGATGAGCAAGGTTGTCTTGCAACAGGCCAAGGCCAAAAAGAGAGGTTGAAGGAGATGGGGGATTTGGCAAGAAGCTTCTTCTGTGGAGGGTAGAGGGCAGAGAAGGAAAGCAGAAGGCCCAGTCAAGTTGTGCAATGTTGACCTGACGATGTCATCTTTCTGCTGAGTGAAAACAGCGGGTGCCCCTGAGGGTTCCTTCTCGAGGATCTGTTGCTTTCACTGGTGGCAGTCACCAGGGACAACATTATCAAGCAACGCGGGCACCCAGGTCAAGCAGCGGTCATCAAAGACCAGCAGCCGCCTCCCTCAAAAATGCCATGCGGCTCGTGAGAGCATGTAACAAAGGCAACGCCGCATGTGTGAACTGTGTATACTCAAAACTGAGGGTGAGCGCTTGCTTCGATATCTGTATATACCCGCTACCCATCTTCAACCCATCTAACATAACTTTTGTCAGAGTAATCATCCATGTTGGAGTAGGTTTGAAGTGTTGGTTGTTAATACTGACAACTTGGCTTCGATTTGATCCTGTTCGAACAGACTCTACAACACCAGCCATTTGGGTTGTACATGTTGACTAGTGTTGGCCTTTCTGGGCCCCTATCTGAAGCCTTCAAGACTGTCTTTGAGCATCGTCCGAGGCACCAGTTGGGAGCACCATCTTGGAGCATGATCTTGGAGCACCGTTCTCGGGCGTCTTCATGGTCATCGTTTGGATCTGTATCTCAAATCATCCGCTTGAACGTGCAAACGATCCAGATCTACAAGCATTCGTGTAGAAAAAATCAGAATGGGTCTTTTCAGTAGGACTCTGCGTCAAAACAGGTCATTTCAGTAGGACTCTGCTCCGAACCTCTGACTGACTAGCTCTTGACGTAGCTATTGCTGTTGATCCGATCCTCCAAATGGCCTTTTGGCTATTGCTAATCAGACCCATTGAGAAGGTAGTATTAGCAGACCATAACCCTCGGGCTTACAATATCTTGTGCCACTTGGCATCGAAGAATTCGAGTTTCAACGTTCCCTCTCGATCCATGTAGCAAACGCCACATCCTAGTTCCCCAGAAGGTGTTTTGCGGCTCATCGACACGTTCTGTTCTGTGATGATCTTCCCTAAGAAGCTTTGCTATGGCTAGATACGGGAAGGAAAGCTCGCGTTTTGGTACCGAACCATCGACACATCGATTTCAGACAGTTGAGACTGATGATGCCATGAGGTCGGGAATCGAGGCGTCGGACACGTGGATTAGTGGAGGGCGGTCGAAAGCGGCCCGTTCAATGAGAAATCCGATCCGACATTGTGCCCTATGAGGCCGCAAGTACGAACGGGTGGCGCAGCAGGTTTTCTTGGCTTGTGGGAATTTTCCACACAAGACATGGAAGTGATGAAGCTGGTATCCGTTCAATATGCCGGTTTGAATGTTGCCCGGGTCAAGATTTGTCAAAATGCGCAGACTCGAGAATGGCTTTCGCTGACTTCAGCGTGCAACAATCTAATGTGTAGTCGAAAGGATGACCCGACCCGGTTGATTATGGGGACGGAGCTGCCGCATGATACTTGGCGACAGGGTTGGGAATTCGGGTGAGCGACCGATGCTGTGCAAACAAATGCAAGCGACCAAACTCAAAACAAGGACGTGGGTGTCAGGGAGGAGGAACCCCTCCTAGGTATCCCAACTCCCCAGGAGGCAGTGCCAGCCAGCCAGGGTGCTACCGTGTTTGACGTTTTTTGACGAGTGTTCCGACTTGGTACGCCTGGTCGGTCCTTTTTGATTAGCAGGATTTGACAGAGCATCAAGCCTTCGTATCAGGGAATGGGAACGGCAATTACGGCGCGGTTGCGACCAACATGAGGCAAATCAAGGAAGGCGATGCGATGGTGTGAAGCAGGCGGAAGTTGAAAGAAGCAACGACGGGAGGCAAAGCGGGTTGGCGTTGATGTGTCTTGGCCCAAGATCAGTGATCGCCCAGGCGTTGAGAAAGTGAGGTGAAGGGGAAGACGATCCCGTGTTGGTTTCTAGGATGGGTGTAAGACAAAATGGCGGGGCGAAATGCAATGAAATGGGCCGACGCCGGTGTCTCTGAGTCTCTGAGAGACATGTGGTCGTGGGTAAGATATCGTGACATCTGAGGTACGACGAACATCTCAGTAAGGTAAGGTAGGTACCTTATTTCTGAGTGTTGCCTGAGGTGATCCAGGTAACAAGTAGGCTCCGTCCCGGGGAAGGACGTAGTGGAGGAAAGGCGGAGGAAGGAGCAGAGGAGCTAAACCCAGGAGGAAGGCACCGAACGGCGAGGAGCAGGACCTTCCAGGAACCGAAGGAGCTGAAGTCACCGATTCGGGACCACCTTCCCGCCTTGCCCCAGGAGTAAGACCAGGCGGGAGACGTGTTACCGTCGTCAGCGGGTGGCCTTATGTCCAGTGCAGGCTGATGTTGACAACTTCCATTGACAAGCAATCTGAGAACCTGGAAGCTGGAGCATCCATCCATCAATCAATCGGCCAGTCACTTCTGACAATGGGTTCAGGCTCAAAAACTCCAGAATCGTCGAGTCCACCATTCGTGCCGAAACCACCGACAGGATGCACGCGGCAGCATACGAATGGCTCGAAGCCTCATCAGACGTGACCAGATTCATCATCATCGTCCAGGGTTTTCAGGTGAAGATAATGTAAGCTCCAGGTGTGCAATTTCCAGCGCGAATTTTCTGCAAGATTAATCAAGTCAGCGACCCAGCAGGATCGCTGCCATCGCAAAGCTGCGCAATAATATGCAGATTGCCGTTGGTCAAGGTCAGGCCAGACCCAGAACCCAGACCCGGCCAGTCCAGGCTCCCCGAAAAGTTGGGAACTGCCGGGTAACGACTCGCCGGCTCATCTGACGGTTATTATTACCGCAGCGCTGAAAGGAAGAAAAAAGAACACCACCACCTCGCTGCCTGCATAGCCGTACATACAGAAGTGTCGGTTGTGCTGGAGACAGTACACTTCGACATAATCTCGACATAATCTCGACACAATCATTCTGTGACAGGGACTTCCGGGGCGAACCCTGAGGGGGAGATTTGGTTGTTTCCACCCCTGCCGAGGAGGGGGCGAGGAGCCATGGTCCGTGTCACCGTGGATTGACGACTTGGAGGCTGGACTTCTGGAGTCTTGTGTGCAACTTTACTCAGTTTTCCCGCAGGTTTTCCCAGATGAAGGTCTCCGCCGCCAATTCCGGGGGGAAGAGAATTGACGAGGATTGACAGACCAGCAGTGCGGTGCAAAATGTAACCGCGAGCGGCAACACTTGAGCGCCAGTCTCCAGAGGGGGCCGAGGGGATCGCCTCGGGGGTCTGAAACCCTTCTCTTCGGGGGTTCAATGCTTGGCCAAGAGCCAAATGGTGAGGATTGTAACTGTACTCAAGCAGTGGACTGGGCTTCCAGTCACTGTGCCGGTTGCCCATGGGCAATGGTACGGAGTACCTGGATGATTCTGAACTTTGCTCCGTCTGATGATGCTCCTCATTTCCATCAGATCATCCCGTCGTTTCGATCTCATGTTTGCTGGCCGGGTTGGCTGCTCTCCTAGTTACAGCAGGGTCATCCACGCCTTCTCGTCGGTCACACGAAAGCACCAGAGACATTGAGCATTACGTTGCACCAGCTGAAGCCAGCTGCGGTCATGAGCTGAGCTTTGAAAATCCGAGTCTTTGTTCTACATTCCACCAAGCCCCCGGAAGATGCAGAACGACTCGATCCTCGTGGCATCTGAGACGAAAACATTCCGCAGCAGTGAAGAGCAAACCACGGGCCACGAACCAGGACGACAACTCACAAAGCTTGGACCCGGCGTTGCCAACTCCATCTTCGATTCTGATGGACGATCATGGAGAAGGCGGAAATTTTCTCTGCTCCACGTCGGCGCACACGTACCGCATGTCTTGGCACAGCTGGCCACAGCGGCAGATGGGAGATGGTTGATGGATCGTGGCTCTCTGTCTCCCGTCTAGAGTTGCATCGAGACAACGTGACGATGTGGACTGGGAAATAGCATGGCGGCAGAGGCAGAGGCAGTCAGTCGGTCAGCGACAGTTTGGGGGCCAGAGTGCCAGACTACCAAGTACCAACTTCCAAAACTTCCAACAACTCTGGAACTGCATGGCGCGACAACGTCGCACACAATGGACCATTTCAGGGCTACCGCGTCGATCCCATTCTCCCCCCGAAGAGACGCCACATTGATCCGACCCCCCTGATATTTGGCTCTCCGGAGTACAGATTACCGCAGTCGGGTGCACAACAGAGATCAGTGACTGGAGAGGTTGTCAGCAAATCTAGGTCATCCGCTAAAGGGGGGACCGAGGGGCTGAGCGCAGACTCCCTGTTGGTCGGTGCCTCGATATGTTCCTGGCTAGAATCTGGTCTAAGGCAAGGTACCCGAGTCGACCAAGCGATTAAAAGCGCCTAGTAATGAGAGGGAAAGAATTGAGGGGGATGAGGCCACTGAGCCAACCGACATACTGCCGCTCCGACTCATTACCTTCTCCTCCGCTTCCAAGTTTCCGTCCCGATTCCCTAGCCACGGAGCCTGACACAAGATTGAGCACGACTGAAAGATGTCACTATTAACAGGCTTTATCGGACTATTCCCGACACATCTATGGCCACCATAGCCCGTACACAGTATGATATATCCCGCAGAGAAAAGGGGTCAGGTTGCACGAGGGTCAGTTAATACTCGTGCACTGTAACGGAAGCGGTGCATATCGAGATGTGCAGTCTTCTGTTACGTCACTCACTGCAAACAAACAACACCTATGGCTTTTTCGTAGGGCAGGGCTCCCGATAAGAATTTGCGGTGAGAGGCGGGCCGGCGCCAGGTTGCAACTGTGCCGGAGTGTAGGGCACATGCGAATAGGGGCGCAAAAGGGATCGACTGGCTACCGCTTCGTCGCAGATATTTCCAGTCGGCGGCAGTGTAAAGTCAGCTACAGCACGCGCGCGTGCGGCGCGCTCGCCATTCATCACGTATTTAGCACCGCATTACACGAGTATCTCTCTCTCTCTCTTTCAGCGCGTCTATGGATAGTTCGTCTCACGTCTCTTCACGTCACATCAAGATGGGCAGGGTCAAAACGGTCACCCTAAGGTTAAGTGAGTTTAAGGTCGGTCGCTAAAACGCCTCCATCGAGGTAGGTTGGTTGGTTTCGCAGCGGATCAGGACGCTACGGGCCTACGGGGAGACTCTCTCGAGAGGAGACCGCACGTCAAGCAGACGGACCCCCCGGCTAAGCGGCAGTCTCTCATGGCGTTTTCATTTTTAGCCCTTTTGTGGCTCACTCTGGTTTGGCGCCGCCGGGCGAGACTTAACCGCTGCATTTAGCAATGTGCCGTTGGCTGACTGTTGGCGCTAGACTAGATCACAATGAAAGTTGAACGGTGAGTGGACAGAGCGTGAGAAATGGCTGGGGTTTCATGTGAGGGGAAAGAACGGTAAGCTACGAATATTTGGAAACAGAATCTGGCAGATTGATGCAACGGTCGGCTGGCTGAGCCTCTGATGGAGGTAAAAAAAAACTTTTGAGACTTGCATCGCCGTGTCTGCAAGGCCGAAAATACGACACATGCCTTATGATGGTGTTATTGACCACACACGTACTCCGTAGTAGTAGGTACGCCGTACAGATACGGGCCTGAGCCAACTGTCGGTCAGTCTGCTAGCGGTCTATTGCACCTGTCACCGTCGACCGAAGCTTTGCATATGCGCACAGATTGGGTTGGGCGCATACGAGGGACGACTCGGCCGTGCATACGGACGGATGCTCGTACGTCTGAATGTCGTACAGCATACGATGGCCCATGGCCTTATTGCCAATTGGTGTACATAAAAAAAAAAAAAAAAGGCATGAAGAGTCGTTCTTGTGTAGCGCAGGGCACAATGCCTGTGGTTCGGCACCGCGGACGGGACAGCGGCAACAGACAACAGGCCATCTCCACCGTTTTATGGTCTCTCAATGAAAAGCAAATTGAGCATCCCGGGATACTGCGTACGGATGGACGTTGAGGTCTGAGTATGGGGGGCTGTCGGCTACCGACGTGTACGAATAGGCTGCGAAGCCGGCATGATGCAAGAAGTTAAGAACAAGCTCAACAACGAGGGGGAAAGAGCAGCCCGCGCGGGATCGATGATCAAGAAGCAATCAATCTCTCTACTTGTACGGGTACGCTCTCCACCGACTGGATCCGCAAGAGATCTAGAAGTTGGTCACCGGTTAGAGGGCTGAGCCACGTTTGCACGGAACACTGCCGTAGTCTGTTGGCATCTGCAGAGAAACTGTACAGATGGTCATGGAAGAAGCTTCCGTACGGCTCCGGGTAGCAAGCAAGAGTCAGTAAATGCACGCTCTCTGATGCTTCTTCTTCTCCTTCTCAGCTAATACGTAGGAATGTACTGTACGGATACTGCGTACGAATAGTGTGCAATGACAGCGTATCCAGCTCCGTAGGTATGGGACCATAGAGTCCACAATCACATCTTTCATTAATTTGATCAGCAAGGTGAGGTACCTACCTTATCGCAGGGACCCTCGCATCCTGGACAGTGACTCTAGGAGTCAGGGATGACGGGGCGCCTGTGGCCACGATCTTGACTGGGATTCGGGCTGATGTGGACGGTGTGGATCCGGACGATTGGCCACGCTTGTGTCTCATGTTTGGCGGTACCTGCATATGAGGAGCGGGATGGCAGGGGTTGGGCCGACAGGGGTAAGCTGACCAAAAAGTGCGCTGACAACTGGCAAATCCAGGACGACAGGCAGGCGCGCACGGCGAGGCAATAGCAACGGCACGGGCTGACAGGTGGTAAGGTAGGAGGCGCCTCCGAAGGCTTTCCCTGCTTGGGCAAAGGGGAAACACAACGTCGCGCGGTACGTATCGCTCAAGCCTCTTTGAAAAAACAAGGTCGGAAAAGGAGTCAACATCAACGGTCTCTCTTCTCTACGCAGTACCTACCTTGTCTAGATACCTCACTCTTACACTTTCTCACTTACACTTCAGTCCAGCATCACAGTTGTCACCGTCATGACTGCTCAGCACTGACTTTCATGACTACAACCCAATACCCAGGTCCATCCATCACGGCTACCGCTCATATTCCCTCACATATTGCCGTCGTTGTTGTCGAATACTACCCGGGCTGCCGTCATCACCGGCGTAGGTGGGGTCATCTCACTCCTGTCTTTTAATGAAGAGGACTCCGTCTGTGGGTTTGACGCTTGACTCCTCGAGATGGAAGACGAAAAATAAAGGCGGCTTCATCTCTTGCCCCCATGCAAGAGTCGAGGGCTGTGCGGCGAGCGGTGCGGTGGCCGCTGGTTCGCCTCTGCCTTAGCCCAGCTTCCTAAGGTGGGAAGCGGTTCTTCGTACCCCCTGGATCATCGAGCAAGGGTCCTTGAGAACCCCCCGGCGCCGTCATCCTTTTTTCTTTCCCACCACATCCGTGGTTCTCCACTCCACTCCGTGCCTCCTCCCAACGACACACACTCACACACTCACACACCACACCCTCACTCACTCACTCACTCTTACCCTCACCTCTACTCGCCCACTCACTCACTCTGCGCTTCCTTACTCACCCACTCACTCACAACTCTACAGAGTACCCTTCTCTTGCTTGGTGCCGGACTAGTCTCGCGCGTCCTGCCATCTCCTTCTCACCCTCACAGATGATGGTTCACCATGTCAGGTACACTTCCTTGGCATCCATGTCATCCCATGCGGGCCAAGCAAGCGTTTGGCCCCAGTCGGTCCACCCCTAATGCGGTGCGATGCGCCTATGCCGCCGAACCGCGACAAAGTTCCTTGCTCCCTCTTTCTCTTTCTCTCTCTCTCTCTCTCTCTCTCTCCCATGTATGCTCTGTGGATGGAGTACTTTGTAGTGTAAGTGGGAAAGTTCCCTCGCTGTGCTGGCAACCTGGGCCTGCCTTGCAAGCGCAACGGGTCTCGACCGGGCCCTGGACCTGCAATCCCAAATGTCCATGGCATCTCTACACTACGGAGTACTGCGTAGAGACTAGACTCTCTCTCATACTCCATGGATGATGGACCATCACCCTCCAAGATGAAGGGCCCACGGTCTAATGTAGCTCCCACCCGGGGCCACCCCCCTCCATCAAAGTCCACCCTCCTCCTCGAGCCTTGAGGATTTCGATCCTATCCACAAGTCCACGTCCCTCTAGGCTCCCCTCCCCTCCCCTACCCCCATGCCCCTATGCCCATGTACATCCACCATGTGCTCCACGGGCTAAAAGGACTCTGACCTCCCTCTCCCCTTCTAAATATCATCTCGCCCTTCCTCTCTTTCACCTACCCTTTCTACCTTTCTCTCTCCACCGCACAGTCTTTCGTTGTCAGTCTTCGGACACATTCCATTCATTCAGCCTCAACCCACGCTCTCTATCGAGTATACCATTCGTTCATTTGCGCAAACTGTGTCTTGCAGCCAACACTTTTGAGAAACATCCCCGCGAAATTGATCTTTCGCCCCTTTTACGATCCCCGATCCGAACAAGCAAAACCGTCTACCCTCGTGGAGATATCTGAAGAGTCGTTGGAAACAACCCATACACAACCATCAAAATGAAGTCCTCCATTGCCGCCGTTGGCCTCATGGCCTCCCTCGCCAGCGCTTCCGCCTACCAGCCCCGCCACTTCCACTGGCGCCGCGACAACACCACCGCTCCCGCCGGCTACACCACCCTCACCGTCGAGGTCACCGAGGTTGCCACCGTCACCTCATGCGCCCCTACCATCACCAACTGCCCTGCTCGCAGCGCTACCCTCTCCGCCTCTGACCTCTCTACCTACGTTGTCACCAACACCGTCGTCTTGACCGAGGTTGTCTGCCCCGTCACCGAGGCCGCCAGCCTTTCCAAGTCTCTGGTCCAGCAGCACTCTACCGGCGGTCTCCAGGGCTCTACCCGCACCGCTCCCGTCATCACCACCCCTACCGCCGCTCCCTCCATCCCCCTGTCCACCGCTGGTGTCACCAACTCTGCTCAGGACCCTACCGTCACCAGCCCCCCTACCGCTGGCGGCGACGATGAGGAGGAGGACGATGACTGCCCCGCTGAGGATGGCGATGTCGTGACCACCGTCACCCAGATCATCTCTACCAAGACCCTGACCATGACCGTCGGCAAGGGCTCTACCGCTTCCGTCGTCACCACCGCCATCCCCACCACCATTGAGTCTACCATCGTCGTCACCAAGCCCACTGGCTCTGCCACCGGCGCCGGCGAGGAGCCCACTACCACCACCACTGCCACCTCCACCGGCACCCGCACCGTCACCATCAAGCGCCCCGGCCAGACCGCCGAGTCTGCTTCTCCCAGCGGTACCCTCGGTGCCGACGGCCAGTGCGCTTGCCCCTCCGCCGTGACCGTCACCATCCCCGCCTCCACCGTCTACGTTACCATCGGTGGCTCTGCCCCCGCTGCCACCCCCTCTGCCAGCGCCAGCAAGACCGCTTCCGCCGAGGCCCCCGTCACCACTGGTGATGTCGGTGCTGACGGCGAGGACGATGAGGAGGATGACTGCCCCGCCGATGAGGACGTTGTCACTCTTTCCACCACCGTCACCGTTGCCCCCTACCCCACCAACGGCACCGCCTCCGGCGCCGCTAAGCCTACCGGCTACTACAAGCGCTCCAACAAGCTCTTCTAAGTGTTTGATGTAGATTTGATTTCCCCCCCGCATGTCAAGCTATATTTGGTTATGAGAAGAATCTATGATTCATGAACAAACACATTCTTATCCTTCTTACACTTTTTTGTCTTGTATACACTTCTTGGGGTGAAAAAAAAGCGAAGTTTTTGTACAAAACAACACAAAGCCGGGGTGGGAAAATACAAACAACTCGCACTTTATTCTTCGGTCCTGCCTGCTTTTTTTGGTGTGGTGTTCTTTTTTGTCTAGATGGGAAAGAAAAAGGGCGGACAACCTTTTAGTATGGCGAGTCCATTGGAAGGGGTTGTCTTTTTTGCTTGTCTGGTGGTCCAAAGCATTTCTGTGTGTTTTTTATGGGAAAGATCAACACGGGCATCATTGCATTCGCGTAGCGGGTCGTTGGGGACCAAACAGAGATATATTTTCTATTGTTTCTTGCTCAAAGAAAAAATCCAGAAAACTTTTTTCACTTCTACTTTGTACATACTTATATACTCGACCGAGAACAGTCAAATGGGGATGAGGTTTGGTGCGATTTGAGTCTCCGACACCCCCTGGTCTGAAATGAGACGGTTTTTCCACATTCCCGCTCCCCCCCCCCCCCCCCGTGTCATGTATGCTGGCTGCAGCCTGCTGAAACGAGACGGGAAGTTTATCTCAACTCTCTTTCGACTTCGAGTGAAACTTGAGATGAACGTAAGGTGTGACTTGCGTTTGTGAGACTTTATTGTTGTTCAGTGACTTGTGACTTCTGTGTCCTTGATGTTTATGGACTTGGACTGCATCCCTCGTGACGCTCCGCTTTCCACAGCTCCGTTGGACCTTTGCCTGACTTGGCTTGTGTACCGTACCAAGTTCCTCTTCCTTTAACAAGTCTGCCAATTGAGGTTTTGAGATGGCACATCAGCAATGAACGTCACTGAGTAAGCAATCACTGGAAGGAACAGGTTGTTTAGGGCCCCTCCTATCGCTCTTTTCACCCTATTGGTATCCTGGGCCATCATGATCTGTTGGAGGGCCTTGGCGATGCCTAAGAGAGCTCTTGGTGGTTTACGAGGCTTTGTTGGTTTCCTCTTGCCAACTTACCCCCGCGTATCAAGTTCTTCAAGATGAGGCAGTAATACCCATGTGATTGTTCCATTCGAAATCATGGCGCAGATTCTTGAGGCTCTCTTTCTTCTGGCGGAACAGACATATGGCAGAGGTCCGATGGTGATGTATCGTAAAGGTGAGGTCTACTAGTCATACCGGACGTCTGGGGCAAGATTTTCTCAGCACAAAGATGAGACTTCGGCTGTGTATCCTGCCGAGGATCTGGTTTGCGATCGGAACCCTGTCGACTCCACGGCTGTCTTCCTTCTTGGGTTATGATGCGTAACATGCTGCCTGCGCATGTGGCTCGCGATGTGTCGCGACTGCTATATCCAAGTTTTCATATACACGGTCAATGAATCCATCAAGAGCGACTTCGCGAAGTCTCTTTGTCAAACTAACGGCTAGGCTGACTCCTTTGGAGGCCTTGCCAGCCATGATGTTGAAATGAATTTTTATCCATCGGGATAGAGATTGCCCCCTTTGCTAGAGTATTTAAACCCCCAATGGTGATTAAGCGATTGATGGATATCAACACGATTCATCGTCATCCGCTTTATTTCGGTCGCGGCCGCCAAATCAAATCCTTATGGTTGAAATTCCGCCACGGAAAATCCATACATATCCCGTACTCTTCTTTAGATGACTTTCTATCCTGCCGGCGCGCCACTCAGCAAACTTCAACCACGTCAGCTGATTATTCCTGAAGAATATCCCGGTGATGGTAAGATGGAGGTCAGGATAGCGTTGGAAGCGTTTGACCTGCCCCGGGGTACGAAGCTTGTCTCCATCCGCCTTGAGGATAGTTCTTCGGGCGAGCTGCGCAATTTTATCGATCGGAAAGGGATGGTTGGAAGCTGCATCATATATCTCAGGTGGTTTGTCGCCTTTGACACAGAAAGAAAGAGCCATTTTATAGAGAGTGTCCAGTCTATGGCCCGGTCAGCGAGGAGTCAGATATGTAGAACCGACCTGGCAGACCAACTTTCTTACCAGAAGCACAACTTCGTAAAATGCAAGGAGAGACCCTGACGCGGGTTCCAATCTTACCATTCAATTGGATAGTCTAGAAATACCGCTCGGTAAGGTTATTATGAGCAGTGTCAAGGCTGGTCCGAATAGGCACATGTTCCCAGCGCTGATATGACGCAGGACGTCTCCCAAGTGCGTGGCCCCCGTCTTTGCCTTATGCCTGCGGTTAAGTCGCTAAAATGAGTACCTGGCTTGAGTGGGAAAAAAATATAAAAACGGCGGTTGCGTACTTCAAGGGTGTAATGAGCGAAGGATGTCACGCGATTGCGGGTATTCTTCCCGAAGTTACCAAGGTCTCTGTTCTCATCGGGTGACAGAGCAGCTCGGCGACGTTTGTTGGCATGTTTTTCGAAGTCCCCAAAGCATGGAGTCTCAATCTCATAAGCTCGCTTTTGAGTCACAGCCTTTCACCCTCTTGGACGTTTATACGCTTTGGAATACATCAATACGGACAGCTGGGTTCCACCAACAGCCTCTCTAGTAGCTGACTTTGCTGAAGGGCAGCTTCGAGCTTCTCTGCACTTCCTTCCACGTACAACATGGCCATATGCCAACCTGTCCAAGGATTTTGGCCAGACTCAAGCGCCTAGCTTCGGGCTGAGCTACTACCCAGGCTACCACCCACGCTCCATTAATTAGAGGAGAGAGGAAAGTACTGTCAAGTACGAAGCCTGCCTGTGTGCCTCAATAATCTTGAGTAAGGCAAAGAGAAATAGAGCGACTTGTTGTTGCGATATGTGCGCATATACCTAATGTCTATAAATCGATCTCTTTATGTTGTACCGTCAGAGAGGCTGCTCGAACAAGACCGAATTTTCTATTTGATGCTCTAAGAAAACATAAATATATGAGGAAAGTCTTGTCAGCAACTTTGGCCGTCACATCGCATCACAGCAAGGGAACCTCGGAATAAGGAATATCGGAAGGCAACGACGAAGTCAAGATTGAGTCTTGAGGAAGCCACGTCGTTACGAGTTAGAATCGTCCTTCACATAAGCTCTTGCCGCCCACCGTCTATCACACGGTATTCAAGAATATCACATAAAGCCAATGAGAGGCGGCAGGTTCGGGGTACGACGCAATTTTTATTAT